GTAAATATCATGTTCACCGACTGCATACCTAACAGTGTGCTAAAGAATGGAATAACTTGAAGCGGTTAATCCAAAAACACTAGATCTTTCTTCTTTTTCTTTGGAGACAAGAATGACGTCATCTGCATATTCCAGATTGACAAGGTTTTCGTCAGCTGGTGCTTGAACGCCAAGGTCCTGAAGACCCTTGAGCGTTCGTCTCATTTTCCCACCTATCATAAAATAAAATACGAATTGAGAGACGGGCGTCNAATTTTCTATCAATGGCGACCCGGACTCTGAGAAAATCAAGCCTAGGAGTGTAACTCCCAATTTGAACGAGACTTTTGTTTGAGTATCGGTAGGTGATTCGCTAATTTCTCCAAAACTCTGAAAATGATCGGGAAATTTTGAGAAAAAATTTTCTCCAAGAACACAAATGTCGCTTTACTTATAAAACTGGATGCATATTGACGCTGTGACGATAATCAATGATTTCTAGAGCGAGTTAACACTTTCCGGTACATTCTCGAAAGATAAAAGCAAAAGGTATCCAGTTTGCGAGCGAAACAAGGCAAACATCATCGTCATTATCGACAGCATAGCATCAGTGCTCACAATGCTTCGCAGCCCTACAGACATGATTTGCCTGAAAGCCTGATTGTGAAATAAAAGAAAAACGTTGGACATAGAGGGAGATTAGGGAAATCTGTGGCAATTATTTTATACCCCTTTGTTAGTTCGAATGTTGGTCACCTCACTGCTTCCAATACTCTGAGTTGAGCACCGGAAGTAGTGCTCTCTGTGGCAATCGAGGGTTCGTCGTGCACAGTACATGGTTCAACCAAAGCAGCGTGCAGTGTTCTACACGGTCTTGGATGAAATTCATTTTTTCAGAACCGAAAACTCGCATTCCAGTTGTCTCGTTGCGGATTATTCGGCACCAAGCTACATGAAGTAGGGCTTTAAGACAACGGCTGTCAAATGCCTGAAAGCGTTCCAGTTCCACTCCTTGAACAGGTCAAGTCTCACAGCCATACTGTCGCTTTTAACAAGCATCTTTTGAGATTTAAAAATATTCCACTTTATCACTGGGGTGTCTCAAATTTGCAAACATGGCATGGCCCTTGCCTTTACCCCATCTGTCACATTAGTATGAACCAATACAAATTGCAAAGTGCTTAAAAATCCTCACAACTCCGTGCACCTCTCCCTGAACTGTAAATATCGTGTTCACTGAATGCAGCGTGGTAAAGAACAAGATAACTTAAAGCAGTTCGTCCAAAATCACTAGATCTTTCTTTTTCCCTTTCGGGGACAAGAATGACGTCATCTCCATACTCCAGATCAACAAGATTTTCGTCCGCTTGTGTTTGAACACCAAGGTCCTGAAGATCTTTGAGTGTTCGTCTCATTTTCCCGCCTATCATAAAATAAAATACGAATTGAGAGACGGGCGTCAGTTTGCATGAGCCTTCTCGAGAGTGGTCCATACACTCAAGCTCTACGATGTCGGAGAATACAAAGAACTCGTCGTGTTCACAAAGTTCCGGGATGTTCCTTGCAAACGTGTCAAAGAGAACAGACAAGTCAAAAATTGAACTCACCTTGTAAATCAGGAAATTTCTTGACCATTTATAAGTACGTCGTTGTTGCAGTACCTGAAAAAGTATGGAGATTGATCGACACAGCCTCTACCAAGTAGTTATTCCGCTTACTGCTCAGAAGCCATCATAAGACGACAAAGGAGAATTGACGCTAATAACCCCGTTACAACCGGGGTCAGGCTGATTCACGTATAGTTATGACAATCACCACATCCCCCTTAATAAAAAATAAGCCCTGGAAACAATCCTCTCCAGTTGCTTGTGACAGGTTGCTCTTCCCAAATACGGAAAACCGGACCGGGCAAGCACAAATTGCGGGCTACAACTCCATCTTTAAAGCGCGCAGGTGCAACGCCTCCGGCCCAAGAGCCCATTGTCACTCAGGGGAACATATACAGTCATGCACATCCAAGGCCGGAGGATTATCCGTTACCACTGTACACAGTTATTCGTAGGCTGTAGATCCAAATGATTGGCAGCAGATGGCCACGAAATTCTTCGTCCAAAGTCTTCATAGTCTTTGGTCTCCTTTATTTAATTTCGCCGTGCAAATTTGATTTTCTATGGTTTCCGGAGACTGGTCGTACGGATCAACTAAAATAATCCTCTGGGATGCTGGACCTTTGGGCTTCTTTCAACTGGTCGTACGGATCAACTAAAATAATCTGGGATGCTGGACCTTTGGGCTTCTTGCGTTCCCGTAACTTTCCGTATCCATTGGGATCCACGCCAATTTTTAATTGACGTCTGTTAATTCGTCCGGCCAGTTTGATTTTGGAACTGATGGTGACATTTCCCGAAGGTTCGAGTGCCATCTAGTGCCGTACCGCAGGCGAAAATTCCAGCTTCTGAGATTCTGTCACGGACGTTGCCAGACAGGCTCAAAGCGGTGATTATAAGCTCGCTGAATTAGGACGACGTCTCTCCCTGCAAATCCTGCCGCAGTTTTTTCTGGATCACCGGGGTGTACACAACCGAAAGTCAGGGGGGCGATGCCACGGTTACTCAACCACTGTGCTTTTAATTCGAATTCTTGTTTTTCATACGCAACACAAGGCAATGTTAAGCGAATCTATTATGAGGGCAAGAGTATCTTGTTGTCTTGCTTGCTTCGGAATGTAAACATGATAAGCAGCCAGATTGACCGGACTTTCAGGTTTGAAGATTGATTTTGAAATGCCTAAGACCTCCGGCGCCGGCTAACATGTAGATGTTGTTTCCAAGACTGATGCGAGATAAGTGTGGTTGTCACTCCTAACGGATGGGCCAACGAAGAGAATTATTGATGGGGTGAAGGAGGAGGAAGTAAAAGCATGTGAAAAAGAAAGAAGGTGGGCGTCAGTCGTAGCCCGTTTTCGTTTACCCGCTACAATGTATGCAGCAAGAAAGACGACCCGGCTGATGGCACCAGGCGACGGTCGATATGGAATGACAGTATTGTTTGTTTTTGAAATAATGGGAAATCTTGGGCTGGGAAATTGCCAGAGTAACCAGACCTAGGCAGGAAGACGATCAGGGTTCTTGACCAAAGTCAAAATGCAATGCAGCGGTGATTTTCGGAAAATAACAGTGCACCCGATTTTTTTTAAAAAAAAACAAGTCGTCACACATGTTTCGACTTCTGGAAGAACTGGAGTCTAGGACAAGTCGTCCAACATGTTTAGCTTCTGGAAGAACTGGAGTCTGGGTGGGTCGGGCGTCTCACCGCTGGCCAGCTGTGTATGAGAGCCTCTGAGAGTGTTGCACGGACAACCACAGATATAACTCAGTGTATCACTGAGGCTCACTAACATTCATACCGTAGTAAGGCATATGGCGTTTAGCTGTGGTGTCTAAATCACGGATGAGATTCGTAGTTTTTAACTATAGTTCGGCATATTTTGAAGAAATAGCATCCAAACTTTTTGCTTTGTCATTATTTAGTTCTTGGCATAGGATACATTGAAATGCAATGTTCAGCAAACAGAGTCTATCCAGAAATTGGCAGTACCCCGTAGGTACATTTATCACAAAAGGGAGTAAAAAATACCAGTGTTCACACCAGTTCCGAGTAACTTTGTGGGTAGGTCATCTGTGAAACTGTGTTCCAATATTTGCCATATCATATAAGGTCTGCTCTAGATAAAATGAACGCACTATTGCTATGGTTTGAAGACGGACTTATTGGTGAATATTACTAGCTGTTTGACATCCACATACTGGACTGACCGGCATTTTAAAGAGGAACTGGTAGACTGTTCCTGTTCCCCACTTCACCTGGAACTTAAACTGTCTCGAATTCTTGAACAAACGCCGGTCAGCATCCAAACGGGGACGACAAATGCGTGGAATCATCCTCATCCATGTTTGGCTCTGAAGTTTGCATATTTTACAGATTGTGGTGTTGATTTCCTGCATAGGTTACACAATACTAAACCAATATTCTCCTTTTTGGGTATATTCCAACTCATCTGTCTGTCTACAAGCTGACGTCACAAACCATTTAAAGTTGGATGGTTGTAAATAGTATATTGCACCAATTTGATGAAGAAAGTTGCGTCAGCTGTCTTGGAACCGGTGCTTGCAAACGACCTACGCGAAATGTGCCAGGTTGAACAGCCATATTCAGAATTCTACGTTTACTTCAAAATCTCTTCTGGAGGTGTACTATTCTTTTTTGAACGAGTATCATCGCATTGTACCGCCTTCAGGTATCAAGTAGTGCACTTGCCAGTTTTGCGGTACTACAGCTCCATAGTTTTGAAAAACATGATCATTTGATAATGCCTCTTGTTCATGAGATGCAAAAACGGTGTCTTATGGAGTCCGCCGCTACTGGAGAGAATTCTGGAAGCTACATGAATAAAACAAAAGCATCTAAGTTGAAATACAGCTGAACGTTTGTCGTTCCACTTATTCGCGTCATCCATGAAAGCAACAGAGCTATCAACTGCCGTCTCTCCAAAACTCAGGTACTTTTTGCTTAGTCAGTCGTCACTTGAAGCAGTATCTATTCTTTTGAGCTTGGGCTGTTTATGTAGCCAAAACCTTGTCTGGTTATTCAGCAAGAGACGGTATTGCACTCAGAATCAGAGTAAAACAAAAGTTATTACAACCATCCCCTTAGAGTTTGGTCCCATCCTCCTCATTCCCGTGTGTTTTTCTGTTTGCACAATGTATTAATTATTGCCTCTCTAATCCATTTTATTTCTCACAATTCCCCTAAAACTGCTTCCGTGTAACGGTGGATACTACTGATGAAGCATGCGAGCAGTATGTGGTTTTCTCATAAGTCCGATTCGCGTCTGTTAAAAAGTGAGATTTATTACGGAATTTGTGGAATCGCTTTGTAGCAGTCCTCCCTGTTTTAACGATAGTCCATGATTATCCAGGAAAGTTTAGGAAGACCTGTTCGAAAAGAAGACGGACAAAGTTTTATAAACAAGATGCCTCCCTGTCCAATAGTCTGTAACTGTTCAGTTCGTGTTTTCCAATAAATAACCCCGCAGCGAACGCCTTCTTTTTGTTCCGGTCCATATTATATCTGTTTCAAGAGTATAAAGAAATAGAAATTGGCCCGATTACGCGTTCTCATCAAAGGTGAAATGTTTGTTCATAAAGGCCTAAATGATTTAGGTGACAGAAAGAGAAATTGTTTTATATTTATGCTGCAGACATCTTGGTCAACAAACCAAAATGGCTTACAGCCTTTTTAGGTTCGGTGACAATTTGAAGGATACCACGTTGTTGTGTCAAGCCAAATGAATACTAGTTCCCAAATAGAAGTAGAATGATAAAGTGATCAAATGTAAGAAGTGTGCTCGCTTACCTTTGCATTATTTCCACGTAACAGTGAGGACAGTAAAGTAATGGGAAAACCTATCGGAATTATGCTGGATTATATTCATGGGACGATATAGCAAACAGTTGGTGAACAAACGTCCGCGATATACATCAGAAATTCCAAAACGGGTAACTGGCTTGCGAAGTTATTTTTAGTAAATTATAATTAATTCTAAGTGGAGGAAAATAATCAGACACGTTTTAATCGAACGTGTATTCTTTAGTGTTTACTAATGAATCGCAGAAGCAATTACTAATACTAAAACCCACAAGAATATGTTAGTAAATTATGCACTTATGCGCTTTTATTTACTATTAAAAGGGTGAGGGCCTTTGCTGCGGAGTTGTTTAGTGGGAGACACCAACTGAACAATTAAAGACTATTAAACAGGAAAGCAGAACTCTCATATGCATCTTGTTTACAAAAACTAAATATCCATCTTGTACTTGAACGCGTCTTCCAGAACTTTCCTGGATATTCCTTGACTGTTGCCCAAATGCAAGCACATGCGATCCCACAAATTCCATAATAGATCTCACTTTTTAAAAGACGCGAAACGGGTTTACGGGAAAACAAACTACTTGCATGCTCCCATCAACAGTATCCACCGTTACACTATTAGTATCACCACATCGTCCTGCACTGATGTTTGAAAATATCTTTGTTATTTCAGAAATTAGAAATGTATCCCCTAGCCAGATGTTTGCCCCGCTTTTGTTTGTCATACAACTGTGCGAGTTGATCTGACAGACATTCCACGTGTACGGTTGCCCCTCATTTTTCGGACTAAACGTCAAACGTTTTGCTCTGAATGTCACAAAATCTGACAACAGATGGCCTGATTTTCAGCACTCCGGAATAAGTTTCACCAAATAATCCAGTAACTTTTACGAGATGTGTGACACAATTTTCGAAATATTGCCGTTAAAATTTTTGGTGATTAAAACCAAAAGGTGTTGTCAAACTGTTTATGAAAATTTGCAAACACTGTGTAAATTCAACGGCAGTCCCAACAGTGTCGTGGGAAGGACATGTTAGGTTTGCACTTTTTGAATGAGTTTTTAATTTGCTTGTCATAGATTTTCAACGTTTACAAAAGCACGTTTGAAGTGAAGTTTTTATTTTGCTATTGTAATCAAACGCCAGTTATCAAGATTTTGATTTTGATTCAGCTTACTAATGTGCGTGCCATTACCAAGTGAAGTGCTTTTTTATGTGGGTGGTCGAAATTTAGAATTATACGCTGCTTAATGTGTCGAGGTGACTACAGCTCTTCAATGAGCAAGTAATATGATGTGTGGTGGTATTTTCCTGCCTGAATAGTATTACGATCGACGTACTTCTTTAGGATCACCTTAGGTTGCTGGTCTATGTACACTTCTAGTGAAAAACGGAGTGATATTTTCGGTGCAACAGTAGTTAGTAGTGGCCATATTAACCTTGAGTTCCATAATCAGTGGGTAACACACTATGCTCGTGTGAATGGGTATGTTCTTCACTTTTCGTCTGTAAAACCGTCATTCTTTGCACAGGAAGATTAGACATGTGGAAACCTGAAGAGAAAAAGTTGGACTGTACCGCTATTACGAGCATCAAGCCTGGATTATAAGTACATTCTCGCGGATGCTGTTTTACAGCCACTTCTGTTGCACTGTGCTCTAAGAAGTGCACACAGAAAGTTCAGCCTCATTAATTAAATGCGTGAGAAGTTGCAACCAAACTGTTGACGAAACTTCTATTTGACTGCTCTGCTGAAGGCTATTTATGACCACGTGATGACAAACGGTATTGATTTTCAGATCCGTTCCACCAGCTGTCCCAGTTCCTGTTCATCTGGTCAGCATGCAAACTCAGTTTGCTGGTGTCAAACAAGTATGCCATTTGGTGCATTTCCTCTTTTGCTACGTAATCTATGTGCCGCATAAATCTTCTGTGCTTGCCTCTGATTACGCTGGTGATATCATCCTATGGTAACTGACCGAAATCGCTCTGCTTAAGTGTTTTTGATCAACTTTACGTCTGAAAAGTGTCACGTAATATTGCAAGACTGGGCGGAATCAAACCAAGACCCCGTTAATTCAAATAAAATGATCAATGTGGCAGATAGGTTAGTTTATATGGGTATCTGAATACTTCTCGGACTATTAGTGAAAAAATAAGAAAGCAAATGCACCACCCCGACGTTAGTGGCAAGGACATGGTATTAGCCGGATTGTCAGTGGTAGAGTGTACAATGCTGCCATCCCGTCCGTCCAATTTATAGATCGAAAACCCGACCTGTGCTTGCAAGACTCCGAAACAATTTGTGCCCGACCTTCGGTGCCGCCGACTCAATGGTGTAGTTTGGTGAGAACACCAGATCACTAATGCCGAGGTACGCCAGATGCGCCGGGTGGAGTTCGTTCAGGAAAACGAAGCATGAGAAAATTTACCAGTCGAGTTGTTCCGTGCCTCCTCCCCAGAAAGGTAATCCGGGAAGAGACAAACCAATGGCCAATGACCCTGACAGACAAGCGCAGCCAATCACCTTCCCTCGGCTAAGCTGTTGCCCTGAATGAGCAACTGTCACTCTATGCCACATTAGCCAAACGGAAAGCGAGACTGTCGTTCCATCATTTTCCTCATCCTTGATAAACTAAGCCGTAGAAGCTTGAACTACTACACTTTGGTACACAGGCGTCTGCATTCAGAAGTCCTTGGCAAAACTCCTTAATGGACCAGCATAGGAAGGTTTAGCTTTAACTTTTGCCGTTTCAATGAGGGATTATGGAAATATCTATCTATCTATCTATCTATCTAACTACCTATCTATCTTATCTATCTATCTATCTATCTATCTATCTATCTATCTATCTATCTATCTATCTATCTATCTATCTATCTATCTATCTATCTATCTATCTATCTATCTATCTATCTATCTATCTATCTATCTATCTATCTATCTATCTATCTATCTATCTATCTATCTATCTATCTATCTATCTATCTATCTATCTATCTATCTATCTATCTATCTATCTATCTATCTATCTATCTATCTATCTATCTATCTATCTATCTATCTATCTATCTATCTATCTATCTATCTATCTATCTATCTATCTATCTATCTATCTATCTATCTATCTATCTATCTATCTATCTATCTATCTATCTATCTATCTATCTATCTATCTATCTATCTATCTATCTATCTATCTATCTATCTATCTATCTATCTATCTATCTATCTATCTATCTATCTATCTATCTATCTATCTATCTATCTATCTATCTATCTATCTATCTATCTATCTATCTATCTATCTATCTATCTATCTATCTATCTATCTATCTATCTATCTATCTATCTATCTATCTATCTATCTATCTATCTATCTATCTATCTATCTATCTATCTATCTATCTATCTATCTATCTATCTATCTATCTATCTATCTATCTATCTATCTATCTATCTATCTATCTATCTACCTATCTATCACAACACTCTTCAAAATACGTTAAATTTTAGAACGTGTGCACTGCTTCGAAAGCTTACTCTGAGGGGTTGATTTTGCCGAGTGTGGAGCATATAGGTAAAACAGCACGATAATCTTATTCGGGTAAAATAAATTACCGAATATTCCATCATTAAACTCTAACAAGCTAACGGAGTGCAAGTGCCCCCCCCCCATAATGAATCTCACCCTTACTAATTGGATCAGCCCACAAAATACCGCGTCCTACGCTCTTCCAAGGTGGCTTTTAAACGAAAGTTTTCCATGAGTCATGGGGGGACTTAACTTTTACCGTTTGAATTTTTTCACGGTTCGCTCATCTCGCATGGGCTATGACAAACATATTCGATTAGTGTCAGGCGTGGCTCACCGGTTAAAATTGGTTCGACCAGAAACATGATCGTCAAGTCGATTGGCTGGGGTTTTTGACGTTTCTCCGCTATCAGACAAATTAAGTTGAGCATTAAACAATGTTGCCACAAGTTGAAAGACGTATTGCTGATTTTGTTAGTAAAACTATCGAAACTGATGTAATAAAAGCGAACGCGACCCAAAATACTTGGCGCTTCTGCCAACTGCTCAGTTTGCTTGCAAAGCCCCCTTGGTTTTCCGTGAAAAGTTATGCTAACATCCGGGTATTTTAATTGACTTGGTGTTGTTATTGGAAAATATGAAGGAGAGAATTACTTGTGGAAACGGAACAAAAGATTCTGAAAGATTTCACAAAAGTAACATTTTTCCATATTAGAATTATCTGATGAACGTTGCTGTTCAGCATCGCGCAACAAACTAAGGCGAACTTCCACGTCTAATGCAACAGTGTGGTTGCGAGGCCGTTTGTTTGGAAATTACCGCGCTTACTTTAGTCAGCTTTCAAAAGGCGAATTAATCTGTAAAACGAGATTTTTCCAATCTTTCCACCCACGCAGTTGTGGGTCTATTTGTTTTTGGGTTATGTAAAAGCAGGTTCATTTTTTACAGTCGGCTGTTCATGATTGGCTTTCAGACTTTATTGTCTATCACAAATAAAATTTATGATAATTTTGAGGGCGTTTTAAGTCGACTGACTGAAACTGTTCTGCATAATCTGGTTGTCAGCTTAACTTGGGTTTATATACATATTCATTGAAAGGAAAAGCCAAATTCCAGCGTTACTCAAAGTACTTGCAGATGGTCGGTGTGACATGACTGTCAGAC